CCTCTCCTAGTGTTCTAAAACTCCTACTATGACTATTTTCCTGAGATTTGAAAAATAAAACAGGCTTTGTACTGGAGTGTGTCTTTACATTTTGCCCAAGGCAACTGACGTTACAGAAAAACTACCCAGATGCATAAGCAAATCTGAGAGAAATACCGAAAGGGTCTTTCAGTATAAGGATTAGACTATAAAGTATTAATTAAGCACCTCCAAAATGAATTAGATATGTATATAATAAAGTCTAAATAAAATACATTTCGATTTTTATGGCTATCCTATTTTACATAATATAGAATATACAATAGATAATATGGTATAAGAGTCAGCTCTGAAGTTAGATAATCTGCATTTAAATTGCAGCTCTATCACTCCTTCCTGTGTTACTTCCAGCAAGTTATGTAACCTCTCTATGCCTCAGTTTCCGGTAAAGTGGGATAATATTATATTTATAATCACAGGTTGTTTTAAAGGTTGAATATATATAAATTTGTGTGCCTAGCACATCATGAGCAATAAATGTGGCAATTACTATTATTAGTTTTATAATACTAACTAGAGCTATATAACTGGAAACTTCAATTAACCAGAATACTGGCAGCTTTCAGCTTCAACACAAAAAAACTAGGTAACAAAACAGCAAACTGTATGGTTTAGACTTGTTTGCTGCCTCTTCTTCAAGTCCAGCTTCCTTTGGCTTATGAATCCAGAGCCATAGTTCTCCACAATCAAAATAAAAAGATTTTGTCCCCAAGGTATTCTGATTAGTTGAGGCTTTATGTTAAAATTCTTTTTAAAGTTCATATCAAACAGATAAAAGTTCTCCCTAAACTAAGGGGCAAATTTAGAATTTAATTTTTAAATGAATTGAAAATAAATGTAAGTGAAAGATAAGATCAATATGTTTTATTACAGGAACAAAAAAGTATCACTTTTTCTTCTTAAATCCTTTATCTTTAAAAGCTTTGAAAAAAAGGTTTTAATAGACTTTAAAATCAAGATTATGCACCTATCTGATCGGGATAAAACTGCTTCGGTGAGCCATACAATGTCTTGCAGATAATACAAATCATTATCTTGAAGAAAGATCAATAAAATGTATTTCATTTTACTCTTAATATAAAATTGCAATCAACAGCAAAATCCAGATTGCGGGAAACTGCAAAGGATAAACACCTGGTTTCTTCAACAAATAAATTGCAAGGGAGAACAAAAAGAGAACAATGAGAGGAAACCAATGGATTAAAAGAGACTTTTTAAAATTTATTTTAAAAAAAAAAGATCAGACAAGACTAAACTACAGGGATACACTCTTGGGTGATAAAACTATAAACACAAGTAAGGAAAAGATAACAATAAAGTCGGGATAGTGTTTACAAGTCCTACAAGAGGAGGAGGGAGGGGCTTGGGTCTGGGAAGCAGCTCATGGAAGGGCAGGCCAAGCTCTGCTTCTGGAACTGGGTAGCAATTATAGGGCCTTCACCTTTAGTAATTTCGGAGTCAGTGTTATACTTTACAATTAAAAAGCTTTTAAAAATAAAATTACAATCTAAAAGATTCACCAAAGCAGCTATTCCATATTTTTTCACGCAAATATATTCCTTTTCCTACGTTCATACTCACATCCTTAAATCAAATGCATTGCACCTGAATTTTCACAAATGAAAGTCCCATGACACCTGAGCAGAGCCATTTACTAGACTGGTTTCTAGCCATTGTTTAAATCTGGCATGATGATTTTAATTTTGCATCCTCAGGATAAATATGACCATGTTTGTGCCAACCAACAAAAAAGTGTTCTTACATAGAGTTTTACTTTGATTTTATACACCCTTTCATTTACTTCAGTCCCAAGAGAAAATCCAATTAAAAAAAAAATTTCATAGGGCTCTTAGGGCAAGTTTTATGGGCTGACCTGTATTCCCTTGAATTTCATATGTTGCATTCCTAACCCTCAGTACCTCAGAATGTAACTGTATTTGGAGACAGAGTCTTTAAAGAGGTAATTAAGTTAAAATGAGGTCATTATGGTAGGCCCTAATCCAATATGACTGGTGCCCTCCTAAAAAGAAATTAGGGCATAGATACACACAGAGGAAGACCATGTGAAGACACAGGGAGAAGACAGCCACCCACAAGGAAGAAGAGAGGCCTCAGAAGAAACCAACCCTGTCGACCCCTTGATCTTGAACTTCTAGCCTCCCCAATTGTCAGAAAATAAATTTCTAATGTTTAAGCCACCTGTCTGTGGTACTTGGTTATGGCAATCCTAGCAAACTAATATAGAAGATAACAGAGAAGTAAAAATGTTTAAGGTTTTTTTTTTGTGCGTGTGTGTGAGCAAGATCAGCCCTGAGCTAACATCCAATGCCAATCCTCCTCTTTCTGGTGAGGAAGACTGGCCCTGGGCTAACATCCGTGCCCATTTTCCTCCACTTTACATGGGACGCTGCCACAACATGGCTTGCCAAGCGGTGTGTCAGTGCGCGCCCAGGATCCGAACCTGCGAATCCCGGGCAGCCGAAGCAGAGCACGCGCACTTAACCTCTACGCCACCGGCTGGCCCCTAAGGTATTTTTCTTAACGTAGTAGAAGGAAGGAAAAGAAAAAAATGAAATGCTACATTACAATTTTATTTGACTCCTAAGTATAGTGAAAAGAAAAGCTTAAGAAAATTCTGAGTCATTAGGAAAGAAAGGAAAACTAACAGATTCCATGTGAAAAGAAACACCTCCCGAAGAGCTAAGCACAGAGGGCAAGACACAGGGAACCAGCAGGAAAATAACTGGCTACTGTCTTTGAATTGAAGGGGCAGGATTCAGTGCTTTCAATGTGGTTTCTGGAAAAAACTCAGATGAGAATTTTGAGTTAAATTTTTAAAAGGACTAGAAACAAATGGAGGTGATGGATGAGATCAAAGTGGTTTTCTTAAAGGGAGAAAGTTTCCTCTCGCCCTAGGGTTTGAATGAAGTTTAGATTTATCATTTCTCTAGTCTGATAGACTTGGGGGTTAGGCAAACCATCAACGAAGAAAATGCAATTCTCAGGCTGGAAAATCAGCAGAGGTTGTGTGGTCAAGTCAGTGCTCTGGGTGTTATATATACCCACGGAGCCTAATATTCTCAGAGCAGAGTACGCTTTGTTGATTAAGTATAAGTTTCCTGAAAAGGGATATTACTGTAAAGATGGTAGATAGCTGTTTGCTGGATCCACCACCCTCCATGCTCATATCTGCATTTCATCATTCCACTGACAGACATAAATGGAAAGAGATAGTAAACTGCCTGTTTCCTTTCCTCTTTAATTTAACATACTCTGCATTCAGAAAAGCATCATACAAAATAGAGAAGTGAAGCCAAATAAATAGGGATGAGAATAAAAGGAGCCTGGAGATTCTAAATCTAGGTAATTTTTTTTCCAACTATAAGCAAAATGGCTCCATTCTCCTATGTCATTCATACCCAGAAGAATCCTATATCCTTTCCTGCAGTAAGGCAGTGATATAAAACAATCAAACATTCAACTAGACAGTTTTAACAAGTTTAGAATAACTTTCTGGAGGGACTGGCATAATTATTATACCCAGATCACCTGTAAAAATTAACAGATTTTGTTTTAAGCCTTTACCAGTTAGAGATATATAGATGTATAAAGATGTATTTACTAAAGAAATGTCCCAATGTCTGGAATTTGCTTAAAAATACTACACACACACACACAGAGGAAAGAGATTGTCAACATGTTTATAACTGTTGATGCTGGATAATAGGTATGCAGGAGTTCACTGTAGTATTCCTTTTACTTCTGTATACAGTATGTTTGAAATTTTCCCTAATAAACAGTTTTCATTTTTTTAGTTAACATACAATTGAGAAATCCAATTCCCTTCATGTCGTCATTTGACTAGGAAATGTAATTTATTTTGGTTATTGGTAGCAGAGTTTAATTTGAATAAAAAGCTTTATTACAGTAATAAATTTAAATTGAAAGCAGTGAACATAGGCTTTAAGGGAAAATAACTTGAGAAAATGTTGACAGTATGATACAATGTTTACTTTTAAAAAGCAAGACTCAATATTGTAGATACGTATGATACCAACTACGTAAAAAATGAAAATATAAATATACCCACAGGATAAAAAAACACTAGAAGGAAACACAACAAAATGAAAACAAAGTTTACTTAGTGATGAGTTTATGGGTGATTTTTCCTTTTTTGATATATTTTTCTCTACCTACAAGTTCTCTAAAATGAGTATGTATTAAATTTATAATCCAAAAAAGAAAGCAAATATATATAAATGGAATTATAACTCTGACAAGGCAGAATAGACAGTCTGAACACTTTTCAGAAGAAAATAAACACTTAGCTAAAACTGGCTTTCCTATACACTGGGCCTAAAGAAACACTTGGGTGAGGTTTGGTCTCATATGCCCTCATCTTACATCATCAGTAGACTGCAAAAAAATACTCACGGTCTTATGCCTATAATTGGAAGAGGCTTTTATTTGTGTGTAATCTTTTCAGAGTTTACCTGACAAGAACCAGTATCCTGAGATTTCTGTCTCCAGGGATTTAAAACTCCCTGGGACTTCCCTTTAGACCTAATAAGTTTATAATTTTACCAGCGGAAGTCCTTCTCAACTGAAGGCAAAGCTGTGCACCTATCCTGGACCCAAGATTTCACTTCTTGGTCCTCAGTGCCAACCTCAAAGACAAATTTCAGAAATTATTTCCTGTGACCTCATCTAAGAGAGAACTACTTGGAGCTATACTAATCCCATAAAAGGTAACTCCAACAATTCCTATAGGACACTAAATATCCTTTTTCTATAACTAAAGGGTGTTTTTTTCCATAAGTGGGTGATATACTTTCCTGAGAAATTCTGAAATATAAAACCCCAAAACTGTACATTAGAAGTATCACTGAAAATTAAAATCATAATCAGCACTTAAAAGTTTCTCAAAAAATTTCCCCCAGAGGGAGGAAAATTTTACTTACTTTAACTTCCACAGTCTTCCCTCCATGTTCAACGTGTCTCTCTACATATCCAGAGGACAGCAAATCACTGCAACAAAAAGACACGATGATTAAAGAGGGCCTTGAAAATGTAAATCATTTGAAAATTGGCATCAAGTTTATACATACCTGTTTTAATGATTCTTTATCCCAGATTTTAAAACAAAAATAAAACCTTATAGGTCTCTCTCCCTTTCTCTCTCTTTCTCTCTCTCTGTCTCTCTGTCTCTCTCTCTCACACACACACAAACACACACACACACAAACAACCTAGTACTTCTAAAAGGATACGAGGCTAAACTGACAAAATCACCTGTCACCCCATTGCTTAGCACAGCTTTTTCCACGGACCTGGTTCAGCAATTCTAGGAAACTACATGTGCAACCATTATTTTTAAGATATTTTATTCTTCCCTTTTTTACTTTGGCCTTTTATCAAATAGGTTTGATTTGCTACCATATCTTACCATTTTGAATGTGTTATGTGTGATATTTCATCTAACAAAATACTAGCTTCCATCACAAAAAAAAATTTTTAAGTGGCAAAGCAACTTAGAAGAAATGAAAAGAAATATACCTTCAGCATTTTAAACTAATCTCTTTTGAAATCTCTCCTAAACAACAACCTTCTTGTATAATTTTTAAATGTTTATATCATTTTAGTTATGCTTCTCTTTAATTCCCTATATATAAAAAAAAATTTCCTCTTTCATGGAGGTGCCTCAAGATACAACTTCCACAAGAAGTCTTAAAGTCTTTAAATTTTCAAAGCACTAAAATATAAATAAAATTAACATTAATAAAAATAATACATGAAAGTACAAATTTCTAAATCTACTACTCTATTAATAGACATTCAGCCAACGAAAAAATCTTTTTCATAGTGCTCTGAAGGTCACCAAGCCAAAACTGTCCCAATCATTTAAAAAAATGTGAATTTCTGAGCACACAGTCCTACCATGATAAACATCATGCCTACAGTTGCTTAAAATGTAAACAGAATGATCAAACAAATGTTACATTCATGCAGGCACCATAATCAGTTTCCTATAGTATCTGATGCTTACATTACCATTTAGGAAACCTGTAATTATAGTCTAAGTCCTTGTTTCATTTGTGTTTGGAATACATTTTCCTATTGACTTTATGTGGGAACCAGCTAGGAGGCTCTAAGCTGCAAGTTGCAGAAAACACAACTAAAAGTGGCTTAAAATCAGGACATTTATATCTTATTTCTCGTTAGAAATTCCAGGGCAGGTGTACTGTGAATTTGCTTTTGCAAATCTTCAATTCTGTTAGATGAATAAATTTGAAGTTTATAAAATATAGGCAAACATTTTTAAGATGTTTTAAGCATAGATAAGCAGCTACAAAGCAAAATTTTGTTAGACATGGGCAGAACGCATAGGATGTGTAAATTATAAGTAAGAAGATCACGTATGTGTTCTACATTGATAGAAAGGGATGGAGGACCAAAAGTTACCTAATATTCATGAGGCACCTGGGTAATATATGTTCATGATATAACAAACATATAAGAAATACTAAATATCCAGGATACACTATACATAAGCACTTAATATTTATGAGGTCTTGATTCAACCACCTATTAGTGACACCCAGGGTTTCTCAACTTCCACACTACTGACATTTTGGGCCAGATAATTCTTTATCTTGGGGAGCATCTTATGCATTGCAACATGTGTAGCAGCATCCCTGACCTCTAGTTAGTAGATGCCAGTAACATCACACACACATACACACACACACACCAGTCATGACAATCAAAAATGTCTCCAGACATTTCCAAATGTACACTGTGGGGTAAAAATCACCCTGATTGAGAACCACTGCTGACACCCATTCCTGGCCCATGTTTTCTCTGCCAAAAGACACACATAGAATTCACAACTGTTCATCAAGCTAACTGGCAGGCTACCACTCCTGACCAACCATACTTGTCCCTGAGTCTCTCAGACACACCAAGTGGCTATCATCAGCGCAGGCCACCTTCCATCTGTGGGGCTTGCCCAAATCTCAGCTCTGGTCCTTGTAACCACAAGGTAGATGCAGCAGAGAAGCAGGACACATGACCACTGTGTACTCCAAGATTAGCTGGAGTGTCCTTCCACCTCACTTGCCTCCTATCATAAGTGTGCTAACCTACCCATTTCTTTCCTCTTGCTTTAAATTTAAATTTTAAATTGATTTAGCAAACGATGTGATCTGAAGATTTTTTTTTTTTTTTTTTTGTGAGGAGATCAGCCCTGTGCTAACATCCGCCAATCCTCCTCTTTTTTTGCTGAGGAAGACGGCCCTGGGCTAACATCTGTGCCCACCTTCCTCCACTTTATATGGGACGCTGCCACAGCATGGCTTGCCAAGCAGTGCGTCGGTGCGCGCCCAGGATCCGAACCAGCGAACCCCGGGCCACCGCAACGGAGCGCGCGCACTTAACCGCTTGCGCCACCGGGCCGGCCCCTGATCTGAAGATTTTAATTTGGTCTGTGGGGGCTTGCTGTTCCCTTACTTCTGGGATAGCTTGCCTGGTAGTATACTTGTAGGTAACCATTGCATCAAAGTAATTTTCTACCCAACATCAGGGCAGTTCCAGGGTTGGCTCATGTGGTGGCTCAGCACCATTAATGAAACCAAGAGTATGTTCATCTCTCTGCTCTGCCATCAGAATGGTAGGTGGCCTGTTCTCTTAACTGGCTCCTCTCATGACCCTACCATTGCTAATACAATTCTTAGCATCTCATGCAGATAAAAATGTCTCAAGGTAAAAAAGCCTTGTATTTCTTTAAAAGAGTCAGCAAACTCTTCACAGAAAGCCCCTAGCATTCATCTTCCCAAGTATGTTTTGCCAGAATTACATTATTTGGCCATACCAAAATCAATCCTTTGACAAAGACATTTGTCTTTGAACAATCAAGGTTCTCCTCCCCTGGGGCCTCCCATGACCATCATAACAACTCAGAGAGAGCTGAACAATATTAGGGAGAGGGAGAGTCGTAGAGAGAATAGCTGTTGTACAGCCAACCGATAGCTGTTGTTGTTTTATTATGGGTACGTCAGATATTACACAAATTTCCAAAGGCTTCTAACAAAATAGTGAAGCTGCATAGCAAAGTCTGCCTCAAGTAAAACTTGTCATTGCTCTACCATCCACATCTACCCTGTTGTCCAAGACCATGCCCCGAACAGGAGAAGCACCAGCCAGATGCTGGCAAAAGACTGTCCCCCAACCTTGCTAGTCTCAGACAACTTCCCCAGAAGTGGCAGAGAAAAATTACCATACAGAGGCAGTGTTTACTAGCAGAGCCAGCCAGGTTCCCTCTCTTGGGAATCTGAACTTCTAAACTCAGAAAAAAATCATCCACCTGATGAAGGAAAGAGAAGCAGAAAGTCAAAAATAAGCAGACACTTGAGAGAAACTGAGTTGTGCCAGTGGTGAATACCAGAGTGAAAGCCCCAAATCTCCGCTGCTTAGGTCCCTGGGTCCAGAAGACCCCATCTCTGATGGTGGATATCTGTGGGATCCTTTTTCCATCACTGCCACATGAGCCAATCCCCCCTCTAACTTTTGAGTCTTCCAGGTTTTCAAATTTCAAGGGAATATTTTCCTTTGAATTATAAAATCTAGGAATTAAGGGAGTATGAGTCACCACAGGAATGTAATTACAGCAAAGAAAACTCTGCTCAGGAATTATGCAGCTATTTCAATCAAGCCTCTTTACCTACGAGTATTGCTGGCTGGAAAGGGCTCCATGTAATTTAAACCAAAAACAGCCCATGCAATTTGGTTTTGTTTGTTTGCGGTATTGTAGAAGTCTGCTAAGCATTGTTATTTTAATTATTAGGCTGAAAAACCTTCTATTTAAAATGTCACTTTTTCCTCTACCGAAGCATGAAATCCTTACTACCATCAACTTAGAACCTAAGTAAATTTTCTTGAAGCCTCCTAAAGTAGAGATAATCAAAACTACCTTAAGTTCTTTTCCTTAGATCATTATTACTGTTAAGGGATCTACTTAAATAATTTTAAGTGTAGAAAAATGTAGGAACTCTTTAACATATGAGAAATTTTATTTTTCTGTAAACTGATAGGGTAGAATTCACTCCATGTTAACAGCTTACTCAAAACTGATGTGTGAATGCTTCTTTGTGAATTTTGAAAGATAAAAGTGAAAATAATTTTCAATCAAATACTAAAGGCCACTCATTTTCTAAAGGAAGTAAGGAGATATTTTTAAAATTAGAAATGTATTCTGAGGCCTTTATTTTTCATTTGCCAGCCATAATAAGCCTGGAATAAGCAAAACAAAATACAATGTAAACATTTTCAGTCATAATAATGATTATCCTCTTTCTTGCAGGCAACTGCCATGAATCAGAGACAGCTGGTATAGTACAAAGGTTTTGGAGTTTAAAAAGAAAAACAAATATTTTTATTTCCTATTCAGATTCTGCCATTTACTAGCTGTGTGACCTTGGTCAAGCTATTTAATCATTATGAACATAATTTGCCCATGTCTAAAATGGAGATAAAAATTTCTTTATAAAGTTGGTACACTATTAAACCAGAGAAATGTCTCCCAACTTCTGATTTCAATCTTCCCACTCCCTATTCATCTCCTATCCATCTTTCTCTAGGACTCTCACTTTAACTGTTTGGAAACTTCTAAACCATTGACCCTGCCTACCACTTTTTCACTGTCCGTCACTCCTCTTGTCCATCTAACTTGTTTATATTCCATGATCCGTCATGATAATCACTCCCTTGCACACACTCTAAACTTCCTTACTCCTCTCTCTCCACTAAGTTCACTTGGCCAAACCTCAACCACGGTTAAACTTAACTCTTCTACTAATCAAGTCTGACCTCAAGAAGCAGAACATCCTGAAAGGTCATACATTGGATTTATGACCACAGTTATCAAGTGGTCTCCCTTAGCACTACACTGCCCATAAGTCCACTGCATTTTCCTGGTCAATTTACTCTAAGTAGACCCTTCCAAGCTTTTCTCTCCTCAAATCTGCAAAGCA